TTTCTATTGCAATTAAAGAATCCAAGCTAATACTTGATACGGATAATGTTTGAGCTTGGAAAGGCAATGTAGTTAAGAAAACAATAAAAATAATATAAAGTTTTAGAGGACTGAAGGCTATTTGCTTTGTCAAAAACGCTCACATGTTTTCCTAATTAATAATGTCGACTAATGTCAAATCCAAGGAGTGCTCGACAAGCAAGCGAAAATATACAACATTTTGTATAAAAATGGTTTTCTTATATTCAAGATCTGATATTTTCTAAAACATTTTTACAAAATTAAGTTTTAAATCTTCGGGATTTTGTTTTAATCGGTATTATTCTTAACAGCCCATTGGCTTGCCCTTTCATATGCAGACCGTTTGGGTTTGACATTAAATGCCATGTTGTACCGTATGTCTACATATTTGCTGTTCCAACTGACGTCGACGGTTAGCACACACAATCGCACATACATATGCATACACACTACCCCATTTGACCCCATCCTCCCGTGCATATGTGTGCGTTATTTCGCGCTTGTGGTACTAAATTGGGTGATAACTCCTTTTTAATGGTTGCGCTTTGCCTGGCTGGCTTGTTGCTGTTGTTCTTATTGTTGCTGCTGTTGTTCTAAGTTTTATTTTTATTTGTCTCGCTAAAACTCAATTTTCGAATCAAACAACCACGAGGATTTCTCGTGGCCTCCATTGGCATCCACATCCCCATCCTTGTCCTTCCGTCCGATTCCCTTCCTCGATTGTGTTGTACAGTGTTTGCTGATGATGCCCTCGAACAACAACAACAGGAACAACATCAGTGTAACAACAGCAACAACGTTGTCATGTTATTTGTTGTTTTGCTATTGCCCCATTGCTTTTATTGTTGTTGATGACGCAGAGGCTGACGATGACTCTGGTGTGGATTCCCTTGGATCGGGATTGGGATTGGGTTAGGGTCGGGGATTCGGGTGGGGATTGGATCGTCGTCGTCGCCGTCGTACGTTGTCACAAATGCAAATAATGGGACAATTGTACTATGCAGGATTTTAACTGCTTTTATTATTTAATTCCTCAATTGAGCCATGCTAGAAATTAACATACGAGTATTTGTATAATCGGAAATACTTTCACACACAAATGTGTGATTGAGTTTTTACACCCACAGTCGCCTTAAACGATTTTAAAAGGTGTCTGGCGTCCCCATCTTTAGAGATTTCGAAAAATTTTAAATGCATTTTGGTCGTGTTTATTAATACCTTTTGAAATGTTGAAGAAATTTTTCAAATCGGACCATTCTTTAAAAACTTATAAGCAAATAATGAAATTCAAGCAATGCAAGCAGTCGCTTTGCTGCATGCATATCCCTTCTCCTTCGTACTTCTTTTAGCTGAGAAATGGGTATCTGATAGTCGTGTACCTTGAGAGTTCTCTCTTATTATAATCGAAGTGTTTGTTAGATCGCAAATATTTTAAAATCAGAAAACAGACATTAAATTAATTTTGTAATTAACGTTAAATTAAGTATTTAATTTTTAATTAGCACAATATTAAAGTTATTTTATAAACAATTATTATTTTTTTTTTTCGTCGAAAATGTCACCACCGCTTTGAACTTTAATTAGCACCATAAAGATTGCTCCTGCTGGCGAAGTCTAAAAATTGTCAGGGCCACAAAACAAATAAATAAGGAGCTGCATGTGCTGCTGCCAGCACGTTAATTGTTAAACAAATGTTCGTTTATCACTCACAGAAACAACAAATGGTTCGGTGGTGGGTGGTGGGGGTTTTGGCCAATATTGTCCTTGTTCGTTAGACGGATGAAGGCGGCGGCAATCGCGGATGTTTGGCATGGCCCATCGCCCATATAAGCCCTATCGCACATCCCGCATTCCCACATGGATCCATATCATCCGGGCGTGGAAACGGTAATGGGAAAGGAGGGCTCTGCATTGGAATTGTTGTTTTTCGTATTTAACCTCAGACATGGGCCTCGTTTGTATAAATTCCCGCCAACTGCTGCCAGAGATTGTTGTTGCTGCAATTGTGCGCTGAAATTATTAACAACCGAGACGACAACATAGCACAGCAGCAACAGCACAGCGGCAACAGCAACAGCACAGCAGCAACATCAGAGCTTCTGGCGTCAACGTCGACTTCGACGCATCGTTCATCGCGCTCACATATGGCGGAAATGACACTTTTACATTTAGCATCGCGAAAGGGCCGGAAAGGGACAGCAGGATACGGGGAGAGAGAGACAGCGACAGAGGCGGAGCGCTTACACGGACGCAACACAGACGCCATAAACTTCATTTCTGACAGGCCGCAACACACACAGGACAACCGGCCAACAGGCGGATACGTAACGTGGAGCAGCCCGGCTAACGGCAAATGGCAAACGGGACGCGAATACGGACACGGCCATGTCAACGCTGCGGTGGCCGTGACTGTTGCTGTGATGCAAGGGTTGAGGGTTGAGGGCTGAGGACTGCGGGCGGGATCTCCGGCTAATGAATAAAGCGGACTTGAAATATTACTCCGCCAGAGTCGAGAGCCAGTTCATTTTGTGCAGCTCCCATGAAGAGGCAGTGGTTAGAGAGCTTAGTCACCAGACTGGATCACCACAAATCATTCGGTTGCGGGCTTTGCAGGAGTAATCCATCCACGGTAGAGAAAACAAAGCTCAAAAATCCGCAAATTGGGATTTGAGAACTTCCAACTAGCTATGATCTAACAATTAGATGGTCACCAAACATTTATTAATAACAAGAAGAATTTTTTAAAATAAAAAATCAATAAAGATTACATTTAAATTTTAACGAAATTAAATTCTTAGGATTATACTAAAGTAATTATTAATTTAAAAAAAAACTATTTTTGAATTTAGGAAACATAAGATACATTTTAATATAATTAAATTTAGAGTTATTTTATAAATACATGATACGTACATTGTCCGTAAATCCAAAATAAACTTGATAAACACAATTTCAATTGAGACATTCTCCCTTCCACTCATTAACGTATCTACGGTTTTTTGTGGGGTCTTATATCAGAACAATTTTTTTGTTACATACTTTCTTCTCGCTTACGTGAGTGGTAAATAAAGTCGCCATATTGCTTCTTTCTCCCTTTTTTGAAGTCAGAGAATCTCCGTAAGAGAGAATTCTGCAAAACGATATTATTTAATATCAATTTTACCATTAGAAAAGATATAAATACGAACAATTTTGCATGAGCATATCGACTTGATCCCGGCGTGTTTTTTTTTTGTATAGTAAAAGCAACCAAATTAATTGAAACCTACGACAAAATGTTGTGCTATAATTTATCAAATAAAAACACCTCTTAACGAGGTAAAAAACTAGTGACGACCGCACCTTCAACATACAAAAGTTCTGATATCAACATTTGTGACGAAAAATTATTACACTCGTCATTAAATAGACTTTCTAATCTTTTCTCATTCGGCCCGTCCTAGCAAACTATTCCAGCCTTTTTCCCTTTACAGGCATTTACTATTGCAGCGTGCCGAATGAAAAAATATTAGAAAGTCTATTTAATGACGAGTGTAATAATTTTTCGTCACAAATGTTGATATCAGAACTTTTGTATGTTGAAGGTGCGGTCGTCACTAGTTTTTTACCTCGTTAAGAGGTGTTTTTATTTGATATCAGAAGTTTTTGTTTGTTTACATTTGCTCTCATAGGAGCTAATATATACATTTAAATTTAAATTGGTCAATCATAATTTTTAAACTATTGTATTTTAACAAATTAAGTTAAAAAGGCGTTGAAGTATTTCAAAATACCTTTTAATCGAGGTATAGCACATGTCTGTACCTTTAGTAGTGTAGAACTTACAAACTAACGAAATTTAGCTATTTTTAGCTTTTTCCCGCTAAAGTAGCGGCTTTTTCCAAAAGTCGTAGAACAAAAGATTCCTATATGGAACTCTTAAGTGCAAATTTACTGATTCCATGACCCTAAAATGCAGTTCGGATACCCTCACACAAAATTCAATACTCAGGGAGCGTTAATTGTTCGAGCTGGCAAATGTGGCTATTTTCGTATAAAAATAACTTTTAAACGTGACTTTTTACAGTAATGTGTTATATACCAAAATTTAAGGAATCTCAAGGGCTATACAGTTTAAGGTTTTAAAGAAAATCGTTAGAGCCGTTTTTGAGAAAAATAAAAAAAAGCTAAAAAAAAAGTTTTAAAAAATTGTCTTTTGTTCATATTTTTTTAATTATTACATTTACACAAATTGCATATAAAAGGCGTTTATAGCATTTAAAAATACCTTTCAAACGAGATGCAGCACAAGTCTGTAGCTTTAGTAGTATAGAAGTTACGGCTTTCCGAATTTTAGCTATTTATAGCTGTTTTCCCGCTAAACTAGCGGGTTTTTCCAAAAGTGGTAGAACAAAAGTTTTTAATATCGATGTGATGAACGTCATATCAAATTTTCAGAACTTAAAAAACATATTTTGGACAAGTGGACAAGTGGACAAGTGGACAAGTGGACAAGTGGACAAGTGGACAAGTGGACAAACTGACAAACAGAATTAAATTTTCATTTTGGGAAGAAGAAGAAAATCTTATTTTGGCTATAACTTTGGAACGGAGAGTCGGATTTTGACAAATGACCCCTCATTCGACGGGTATTTTCAAAAGGAATACAACTAAAATATTGCGAGGGGGCATTTATCCCCACCGGCCCCAACAGCTCCAAATTTCGAAATTTTCACTTTTTCACTTTCACCGCTCTCTCTCCCAAGCCAATTGATTTTCTTAAAGTCTTGGTATGCAATCCTGTTAGTTTTCGCAATACCTTTCGATAGGTGTATTATTCATTATGATCGGACCATCACAGTAGATTTTCATTTCTTCGTGTATATATAGTAGTCGCCTTCGCACACTCTCCTGGTGCGCTTCGTCACTACATGGACTGCCGTCCATAGTGATATTTAATATGAAATCTATCTATGTACTTGTTTTCTTTTCTTTTTTAGATTATAATGAACACTGACGATCTGGAGGATACTCATCTGTGCATCAAGTGCAATGCCACGATACTCGGACTCACAAAGTACATCGAGCACCGGAAACGGAACTGTCTCCTCACAGAGAAGCAAATTGCGACGCCAACAACAGAAGGACCGACCACCACCTCCACTCCCACCCAAGTATCGCCGACGATTATCAGTAGCAGCAACTTGGATCACACATACGATGGCTTCCATTTCGCGGAGCCCGAGGCTCCAAGCAGCTATCTCCGAAAGACTGCAGCCAGTCATGGAGGAAAGGCCTCAAAATCCTTGACGGAGGCCTATGACCTACCCTACGAACTTGGCGCTGATCTGTTCTTCTCCTCACTGCAACTGCAGAGCGTGTCGACGGGTGGGAAGACGGGATCTGTGGCTCGCCAGGAGAGAAGCAAGGATGAAGTCTGGCCAGCACCGAGTGGCGATCCCTTGCTGAAAGCCGTTAGGGAGCACGATGAGACGGTGTTCAAGCCCCTCAACTTTGATCATGACTCCCCGGAGGGCAGTGAGGAAGAGGAGGACGAGGAGGAGCACGATGACTTTGAGGCGGACGATGATGAGGAGGAGTGCCACTCGCCGCCCACTGTGCCCGCCACCCACACGGGTGGCAAGTGGAAGCCGGAGCACCGACCGCAACTGCGACACCCGCACATTGAACGCCTCTCGCCCAGTTGGGATGAGCCCGGCGAGGAGAACTACACCCATCCCCCCGAGGATCATACGAAGGGCAAATGGGTGCCGGGCAGCAAACAGTTGGAGTATCGCGAGAACATAGATCTGACAAAGCTGGAGCAGCCGGGCGCTAGTTATTGGTGCAACATCTGCTGCAGGCGACTGAAGAGTCGCCTCAACTACGAGCAGCACTTGCGTAGTGGCTACCATGTGAAAAGAGCCGATGCCGAGTGCCACCTGGAGCAGGCCAGGCTGGGCAGCGAGCTCAACCTGAGCAAGGATTTTGTGGACTCAGTGGAGCAGACGGGTGAGCAGAAGAAGAAGGAATCGAAGTCCCCGAAAAGACAGAGGAGAGCCAATCTGCTGCGATGCGATCTCTGCCGCCACACGATGGCCAGACACCTGATGGGCAAGCACTTGATTTCGCACTATCACTACCGCAGGCTGCAGCAGCAGAGTCGCGTGAGGAGACAGAGTTGCCTGCAGGAGATACTCAGCCACATGGGCAGCATAGTGAGGCAATCGCCCTTCCAGTGCCTGCCCTGCAGATTCTACGCCAACACCGAGGAGGCGTTCCTCCAGCACTGGCAGTCGCAGGAGCACTCGGAACTCACGGAAAGTCTGGGGGGATCCTTTTGGTGTGGCTACTGCCAGTTCGAGTGCGAGAACAATGCATCGATGTGGCTTCACCTGCTGCATCCCTCGCATAAGGAGGTGCTCCTGGCGCTCAACAGATCGGTTCCCATATGCATAGCCCAAAGGAGACGCCTCGAGTGTCCCAGCTGCGGAGTGGGTTTCCTGTACAATTTTCAACTGCGACGGCACTTCATCGCGGAACATCCTGGACTGGCTCCCGCAGGAACCGCAGCCGATGAGTACCAGTGCCGCTTTCGATGTGGCCTGTGTGGTGCTCCGCAGAAGTCGCGCCTGGCTCTGCAGCGCCACGAGAAGCACAAGCACCACGTGGCCAAGTACTACTGTGCCATCTGTCGGTTGGAATTCGAGACGCCCTTGGAGGCGCGACGCCACCGCAGCTTGATGCAGCACAAACTAAAGGCCAGGCCAAAGGCGTCAGTCTCACAGCCGGAAAAGGAAATAGAACATATGCTGAGGGAGGTCCTGGAGGAGCCAACTCCGAACCCTCCCGCCAAAAGGAGTAGAGTTGTCAACCTAAAATGCTCCAATTGCCGGGAAACTTTCGACTCACCACAGAGTTTGGCCGAACATCGAACTCAGGTCCATTCGGCCGACAATCACTTGTGCCTGAGCTGCGGAACCAGCTTTCAATCTGCCCAGGCCCTCGGCAGGCACACGAGGAGCTGCCAGCCCCTGGCCAGCACCTCATCCTCCGCCGCTGAGTCCCTGGCCAAAGGGAAACCCTCCTACTGCTGCGATCAATGCAGCTTCCAGTCTCAGTACGAGTCCGATCTGGTTTATCATCGCATTTTTCACACACGATCCGGAACGATTGGGAAAAACGAACTGCTAAAGTGCCCCCTGTGCCCCAAGAACTTCAAGAAGCACTCCCTCAGAGCTCACCTGAGAAACCACACGGATGAGAAGATTTTCCAGTGCACAGAGTGCCTGCTGAAGTTCGCCCGGAGACACAACCTAAAGAATCACATGGCCACCATGCACGCGAAAAAAGAAGACCGGGAGAAGGCCAAACTTTCCAAGAAGACGGCTGACGATCAACCAAAACCCAAATATCAGTGCGGAACCTGCGGAAAAATACTGGCCAAAAAGTGAGTATCAAAAGCTAAAGTTTCCATTAAATCGCAGTACTTCAAGTAACAATTGTTTCGTCCGCCAATTTATTACCCTTACCATTTAATTTCGGAACCCGAACAAAGACCGCTAATTAGAAACTCGCAAAGGCCCCAGGCCTTCGACTCACTGCAGCGGAAGTGCTTGCCTTATGAAAATGTCATGCAACTTATTGTAGTCCCCAAAAATCGCCCAAATAGTTTGGCATTACAAAAGTCTTAAATAAACAACAAGAAAGCCGAAAAAAGGGCGGTTAGGGAATTCCTGCAAATGAAAACCATGCGAGCGCATGGATTGTGTGTTGCATTAATTAAAAATTCCAAGCTGCAGTATGTGAGAATAAGTAACCGAAATAATACAACAAAATATAACTCATTAAGTGCTGGGCATTCCGGCCAAAAAACGCGAGGACACCCCCAAATGTCCTGCATGTGGACTGCAGCCACGAAGTATGCAATGCACTCGCAAATCAAGCCTGCGGCTATTCCACCGAAAACTGCAATTTCCCCGTTCCACAAAATAAATATTTTACGGATAAACAAAGATGCGAAGAACACTTCCCTTTGGGCTCCACGAAAAACATTATTAGGATGGCCATTTCTAAAGTGTCATTTTAATAAAATGTTTTTTTTTTTTTAACTGTTAAATTTCTACATTACCCCAAAGACATTGGGTGGAAATGGTTTTTTGTTGCGAAAGACTTACTTGTAAAGATCAAATTAATTCAGTTAAAGATCATAACTTATAGTCATTCACAGAAAATAAAAATTCAAGAATATTATTCTTGAATTGAGAACATTTGTTCAATAATGAAAAACTTTTATAAGATTTGGGAAAAGTGTAAATGAAATTTGTATGTGGAAAACAATTTTTATGAGGAAATAATGGAATTAAAGCAGTGCATAACTCTATCTCTCTCGCATCTTCTTTAGCTGATTAACGGGTATTTGTCCTATTTCATCTTATAAATTCATAAAACACAGTTTATTTAAATAGCAAATCGGAACATTATTGAAAGGGTTATCACAAATGGTATCAAATCGTCCCATCCATGAAATGTATCCATTTCAAATGATAAAGGGGAACACATCAAGCCATCTCTGCAGAGTTTTCGCCTGCATTTCCCACTCTCTCCACTCAATATATTCCCCTCCAGACATATCATCTCAAAGAAACCCATTAGCACTGGCAGATCTAAATCGCATCGTCCAATTCCGTTGCTCCTCATAACTACTCATAACTTGCGAACTTTTTTCCACTTCACGTTCGCCTCTGCCAACTAATTCCTTAAGCAAACATTAAGTTGAATTGCAATCGGGACTGAGATGGAAACGGGGACTAAGACTCGTCGCTGGGGTAGAGAATTTTCCACTTTTCAAGTGATTATTTGAAAAATTTATTAAAATGCTCATTTGAAGTTATTGTTGTGCTCGCTTGATGTAGATACTTTGCTTTTACGACTAACGAGACCAAGTGGCCAGCAAAGATGCCGAGGAGAGTGGCGCGGAGTGGAGTATCTCTAGCTCTGGAAAACTTTCAGTCCTCATCTCAGGTCCCAGGACGACGGAGAGGAGGCGACGAGGACGACGGAGACATCGTCAGTCATGTCAACAGCGGAGCGCTACACACGCTTCCGGAATTCCAGACTCCAGCTAACTCAACTTTTACGGTCGCTTCTTTTAGCTGGCATCTCTTGGAGATGGAAGTGCTAGAGGTGGGAAATTGAGGAGACGATAAGATCCCACTAAAGAAACTCTTGGATTGACTGCATTTAATTACTTCCATTTCAAATTGATCAAATTGCTCTTGCTTACCAAATTTTTAAAATTCTTCATTTTAAAAACATCTTCAAGAGGATTTTTTTGAAACATTTTTTTTGTTATTTATTAAAAGATTACTAAATAATTAAATTAACAAGAGAGAACGCTATAGTCGGGTTGGTGTCCCGACTATCTAATACCCGTCACTCCGCTAAAGGGAGTGCGAACGCTGTGTCTGGTTGGTGTCCCGACTAATAATCGTAACTCAGCTAAAGGGAGTGCGAGGGAGATAGATATATGTTGACAATTTATAAATCGTATAACTTTTTAATGAATGGTCCGATTTGAAAAATGTCTTCTACATTTCGATAGGTATAAATATACACAACAAAATTGCATTTATACTTCTCGGAAATCTTTAAAGATGTGGGCGCAGGACCCATTTTAAAATCGTTAGTGGGCGATTGTGGGCGTTAGAGGGGGCGTGGCGCTCGGCTAAAATAAACTTGCGCTGCGTAGGAAGCCAAAGAATATGTGTGGGAAATCTCAACCTTCTAGCTTTTGTAGTTTCTGAGATCTCAGCGTTCATACAGACAGACAGACAGACAGACAGACAGACAGACAGACAGACGGACAGACAGACGGACAGACGGACATGGCTAGATCGACTCGGCTAGTGATCCTGATCAATAATATATATACTTTATGGGGTCGGAAACGCTTCCTTCTAGCTGTTACATACTTTTGCACGAATCTAGTATACCCTTTTACTCTACGAGTAACGGGTATAAAAATGTAAAATTATGGATAATGGAAAGGGGATTCGCCCACACAATGTGTAGACTGCTTACGACTTTAAACTTCATAATTTTTTATGATAATCAAACTGAACATTATGGTTCCCAAATGGGTTAAGACGGTACAAATTCTAATTAATCCTCTGAATTCTTCCAAACACGTTGAAACCCAATTGAAAAAGGAGGAATAAAAAAAACTTTAGTATTTAGGTTTAATAAAAAGGGTTTTTTAAAAAGAAGAACCGAAATTTAGAAGGCTTTTTGTCTACTTTGCTTTTCCGCCGTGTCACGCTTCCATCGCCGGCTGAAATCCTTTGCGGAGGACGAGCTGGGATGGGAATGGGTCCTCCTCCTGCAGGAGGCAGCGGCTGAAGTTTGAGGCGTCCGCTGACGACGTCGTCGCCATCGCAGCGTCGGGCAATTCACTTTTATTGAAATGGCGTGCAATGTTCTGTTGGCTGCCTCTGCTAGTCGGACTCGGATTCGGATTTGGATTCGGCTTCATCTCCTGTCTCTCGCCATCTTGCTCTGGCCACTGGGTTTTCCGATCCGTCTGCATTTCTTTTTCCTCTGCTCCCCCTGTTTTCCCCCTGTGTGCGCTGTTGTTTTCCCCGGGTTGGTCCGTTCGCCTTCTTCCTTTCGGTTTATTTTTTATTTCGTATTTTAAGTCATTCCTATGGTGCATCATTCGTTTGCCGGCAGTTGATTCTGTTGATGGCACAAAGTGCAGTGCAATTCATTTTAATGGTCGCCGTCGTCCTCCAGTGATCTCAACTCCCCCTCCATCCCAGCATCCCAGCCTCCATCACTTGAGAGTCAATTTCACAAACTTGATTTTCCATTTCCAATGACGCCGGCCCGCTCTATCGGAGGATTTAGGGATTCCGCTGCCACATTGCATTCATTCATTTTTATGAATCTGCGAAATTGAGTCGGACATTGTTCGGTTTGTGGTCGGCTGGCACTGGAACGTGTTGTTCGAATCGTCGGTCTTATGTCTCAGTCCCAATCACCCATCTCACTGCGGATTCTGCCCGGTTGTTGATGGCCATTGGCAAGTGTTTTGAGCTGGCTTTTTCTGTTGCCGGCATGTTTGGCTTGTTTTTTGTTTGCCATTTGGCCGAACTGGTTGTCTGCTCTCATCTCATGAGCGTCACGTCAGAATACTGAAATGAGCATCAAGTGATGGTTCTTGAAATCAAAATAAGCGTGAGAAGTAGATGTTTTATATTCACTTTTTCTTATAATAATAAGGGAGATTGAAGCTTTATAGACTGCATTTTAAAGTTGATCAGTCTTAACTGACTTAAGACTAAGTAAATAATTGAGAAATTTTCAAACATGTTTAACATCAGATAATGGATAAATACTTAGATTATTTCCAATGCAAATATTTTTATTTGCCACCTTTAGGATTTTGTCGTTTTTAAACATAGAATGCAGTTAACCTTTCCCAAAAATATCGAAATAAATAGAAAGCTACTTAAAATTATATATTTTTGAATAAGCAACATCACGTTCAGTTGAAAAATGTCTCTTAGCTTACCCGCAATTACCGCCTTCATTACCGGCAATCCGCACATCCATATCCACATGCGTGGGTGTCGCATTCAAATGCCATTGCCCGTGCCATCAAGCTAATCCAAATAGACGGGGCAAGTTGAACATTAAAAACTTCAAGTTAAGACCCGGCCAGGCATTAATAACAACGACAAAGCCAAACAAAGTCAAGAAAGTACATATACGTATCGCTAAAAGGGGTTAAAAGGGGGTTTCGGGGGCTGGGGGGCTGGCTGTTAGACAAGTGCAAGGGTGACATTTAACGGTAATTTCCTGCAACGATTTTTGTTTCGCTCAAGTTTGCCAGATAAGCGCCAAGGAGTCGTCCAAATGAGGGAATAGAAAGGAAGGTATCCCTGGCACTTCCCTAATTACACATGGTATATAAATGTTGCCACGCCCCCACGCAGGCGGCGAGGTGGTGCAACAACTAATTTCACATGCAGCACGGGCCAAGGCATCAAAATCCGGCTAATGTCGCGCCGGCGAAGAACAACTCTCAACTTCAGTGGGCCAGGACAAGAGGCAAGGACAAGGCAAGACAAGACTTACGTACCAATTACATGAGCACAGCCAAAGAGGAGGTGGTTCTGATGTGGGTGGGCGTCCGCCAGAGATGCCAAATACATTTTAAGTTAAGAGGAATTAAAAAAAATTCTAAAAATTAAATTCTAAAAACTTAATTCCATTCCAAAATGTGAATCTTTGAATCGCTATTTCATAAGTGTTTTTAAAAAAGTCCCGTATGCAAGGATTTTGAGAAAAATAACCTCAAAGTGAAAGAAAATTCTCTTTGCTATATTTACACCGCAATTACAGGGGAACGGATTTTTGGTTTGTTAGTTAGATGACAAGTACCACTCTATATTTTTCGAACCGCAAGCCAAAAATAACACTGTGCAGCATTTTTAGTGCGTTTTAAATTTACCTCGATGGATGCTATATTTTTGGATTCGTTACGAATTCCCAAGTTAAACTGCGTTTTCCAAAAAGTTTCCCGACGCAAGGATTCTTAGCAAAAAGACCTCAAAGTTCGAAAAATGCTGAAATTTGCCAAATATCCAGAGCTCTCAGAGGCAATCGGATGCATTGTTTGATTCTATGTTAAAGTTTTTTAAGAGATACACTCTTTATCTTTTAAGCCCCATACTTAGAATAATTTTAGGATTTTTTTTAAGGCAGAAACAAATTCTAGAAAACATAGTCAAAAAACATAAATGTATACAGATGCAGTCAAAATATTAGTAGTGTTACCGGCCTGTGTATTTTAAAGTTTGTTGTTGTAATTCATCTTCTTCTGGTAATATTGTATTGATTATAATTGTACTATTAGACTAATTGGATAAGAAAAGTGACAACAAAAAACTTTTAAAAACACATGACGGCAACACTACTACTATTTTGACCGCAGCTGTATGCTTTTATGTTTTTTGACTATGTTTTCTAAAACTTGTTTCTCCCTTAATAAAAATCCTAAAATTATTCTAAGTATGGGGTTTGAAAGATAAAGAGTGTATCTTTTAAAAAACTTTAGCATCTAACCAAACCATGAATCCGTTTGCCTCTGAGAGCTTTGGAAAGTTGGCCAATTTCTGAATTTTTCGAACTTTGAGGTCCTTTTGCTAAGAATCCTTGCGTCGGGGAACTTTTTGGAAAACGCAGTTTAACTTTGGAATTCGTAACGAATCCAAAAATGTAGCATCCATCGAGGTAAATTTTTGATGCTGCATAGTGTAATTTTACGAATTTCTTTACCGGAGCTATAAACGAAAGAATGACTGTCTGACTATCTAAATTAGTCGGCTGTTGTTAGTTGGCTGTTGTAATCTATCTTATAATAAATATCTTTAGTTTTTTATAACTACACTTTTGGGCGAAAAGCAAAGAAAATCTACTTTATAATTCTTGTGCTCATGTTTTTCGGGAAAACGGCCACACTGGCAGCACTGGTGTGTGCCCATATCCTGGTGACTGACACCGGAAGCCGCCTGCGAGGGGCGGTGGGCTGACTTGACTAACGCCCCGCGGCACAGAAGTTTGCGCCCAAAAGACAAGACAAGACAAGAAAGACGCTGTCATAAATATTTATGCGAGTTTGGGGAACAACAATGCGAGCGCACCAGGGCAAACATTCAGCTGCTCCAAACTACACATGCGATTGTCTAAGACAGCCACAGACAGGAGTCCTTCTTTGGGGCTGAGACGCCACCGAGCACGGAGGACCACCCACCAACCCATCACCTCACCATCCTGCATCCTTGTGCAGCTGACAATGAGCAGCAGGATACATTTTGCACCTGCCGCACCCGCGACATGTTTGCTCAGCATTTTTGGTGGCAAAAGAGGGGAGGAGCATCCGCTGAGGGTACGTCGAGCATCCCTCTAATGGATGGCGTGCACAAGTTGACACAACACCCGGACAGAGCCAACAGCTTCGTCCTGGCCTGCAGCTGCTGCACTCCTTTGCTGCTCCTTTCGTAGGGAGATTGGGGTGTTGATGACAGCTCAACCTTAGCCCATCCCACGCCCAAAAAACAGCGTTGAAAAGGGCAAAGTTTTCATCGCAAGGCGTTTTCGTCAACTAATCGGCAACGAAGCTGCTGCCAGGAGACGCCAGGATGTGCCATCCTATCGCCTTGAAGGGATTCTCTGCGCGTCTTGTTTTTATACAGCTTCTGGAAATTAAACCTGACTATGTGACTGTCTCGAAAATATGGTTAATATCATCCGCAATCGTAAGCTGCTCAGTTTAATGCAAGGAGAAATGATAAATGAACATCTATTTTTCATCAGTAGAAGAAATAAAATACTTTATTTTTTTCGAGATACTATAAAAGCAAGAGAAAGAAAGTTAAGAAACTTGTTGTCTTATATCCCAACCAGTCATCCTATTCATATATTTATCAAGTTAAATAAATACAATTTTTTTATTAAAAAAAAAACTTGATATTATGTGGTATCGAATTTGTTTTGACATCTAAATTTGATATTCTCGAAATGTAAGCAAATGTAATTCTTTAGGAAATTACCAAAGTGAGAAATCGGCAAAATGATATTATTTTATATACTTTTTACCAGTGTTGCGTGTTTTTTTGTGTATATTTCTGTTAAAATGTTAGCCTTTCAAGAAGTAATAACATTATGATAGCAAAACTAAAGAACTCGTTTGATTAAACTTTTACTGCTAAAGTCTGAGATTTCGTTACAAAAAAATCAGGTGAAATTGAATTATTTGCAGAACAAAAACCTGTTTCAAATTAGCCCAAGTCTGGTGCAATTCAATTTAGGTAGTAGTGTTGCCTGGTCTGGGCCCATGAACATTTCTCCCTCTTCTCGCTTCGGGCGGAGAGACAAACGTATTAGCGAGACAGACGGTTATAGCTGGAAAAACTCAAGAACTTACCCGAGAAGACGAAGTCTGGAAAATGCATTTGAGGAAATAAAAGTTAATGTTGGAGGTGAATATACAACTGGGAGCTGGGAAAACGAACCGAGCGAAAGATAATTTTGTTTTTCACTGTTGGTATTTTTGTTCTTTTTGTTGCATCTAATTCGCTTTGCTTTCTTCCAGCATTATGTTGGTGTTCCTGTTGTCCCGATTCCTTTGTTGTTGTTCTCGCTGATGCTGCCATTATCCTGGGCAAGAGGAGCAACAGAAACAAGAACAATTTACGGCAAACTCCTGCAGGTAAAATGGCATCCTTTTGTCAAGTCCTGCAATACCTTCAAGGAGCTGCGGCCCCTCAACTCCCCCATTTATCCCTTTTCCGCCTCCACTTCTTCCTTCTCATCATCCTGTTTTGTCGCTGTCGTAGTCATTGTCGTTGCTATTCAAACTCCATACAAAGTGACATTTCACATATCAACGACGCCCCCCTGTTCCTTTACCTTCCCTGCCTCGACTTCGCGATGGCATCATTAGAAATGCATGACAATGTTGTCTTACCCCCATTCACCAGACTGGCCACGCCCCATAGCCCTTAATACCACCCCCACCCCCGATTCCGTTGCGCGGTGTTTGTCTCGTAACAGGAATTTAGATTAAAGATTGAAACTTTGTTAATGTCGCGCATTATTAAGAAGAATCTTTTTCCTCCTTGAATGCCAATGAGCTAAGAAAATTAACAATGTTTAGTGGGAGTAAGGAGTGATTGTGTCTTAAAGTTTATTTTAAAAGTATTTATAATAAACATGAGGGAACGCTATAGTCTGGTTGGTGTCCCGACTATCTAATACCCGTCACTCAGCTAAAGGGAGTGCGAGGGAGATATATATATAAACAATTTTGATTGCGTATAACTTTTTAATGATGGTCCGATTTGAAAAATGTCTTCTACATTTCGATAGGTATACACAACGATATACACAACGAAATTGCATTTATACTTCTCGGAAATCTTTAAAGATGTGGGCGCAGGACACACTTTAAAATCGTCAGTGGGCGACTGTGGGAGTTAGAGGGGGCGTGGCGCTCGGCTGAAACTTGCGCCCAAGAATACGTGTGGAAAATCTTAACCTTCTAGCTTTTGTAGTTTCCGAGATCTCAGTGTTCATACGGACAGGCAGACGGACATGGCTAGATCGACTCGGCTAGTGACCCTGATCAAGAATATATATAGTTTATGGGATCGGAAACTCTTTCTTCTAGCTGTTACATACTTTTGCACGAATACAATATACCCTTTTACTCTACGAGTAACGGGTGCAATTAACAAGAGGTCAGATGAATATGTGCAGATTACTTTAATATTTTTAAAAGAGCAAGTTATTCATATCATTTTGGTATAAATAAAGATTATATTTATCTTATTTTACAATATTTATTCCAATTTTGTATATTAAAAAAGCGTTTTTATAACTTTTATGAAGTGATAAAATATTAAGTTTTTATGTTTGAATCATAAATTTGGCATTAATCATATTGGCATTTTATTGATATGAAATAAGTAGAAATGACCCTACAAATGGTTTTGGTTACACAGAAAATTCCCTAAAGCTCCCAAGAAAAATGATCGATTAAATCAATAACACAGTCACTTCAATTGACAACTTATTCTGTCCTGGCTTATTTAAATCCCGATGCTGCTCCATTACCAAAAACTCTCTGGGAAACAGGCCAAAATCGGGGGAAACTCTCAGCTGTTTCTATTAATTAGCATCCGTAATTGATGTGCAGAAAAGTTTGGCCTACGAGAGCTTGAATTTGCATTTTGCGGGTCCTTTTGACTGAGCTGCGGCTGGACAAACGTGGACATGGAATTGGAAGTGGTCTGCTTGGATTTGGGATTTAGATTTGGATGTGAACGTGCCTCGTGTCTCTGCCGTCCATGAAACGTGACTTTGGTGCGAATTACTTTTGCCTTGATTTAATGTAATTAAAAAATTTCCCAATTCCTAAAAAAAAACAGAAGCGAGGGGCTTAAAAAATGTGACAGACCTTTTTTGGTCATGGTCCATATTGAGATGCTTTAGTTTTAATTGTTATATTCCAACTTTTTCAGGCATTCCCTAAAACTACATGAGCTCAGTCACTCGAAGGAAGTGGAACGTCGACATCGTTGCCATTTTGCAGACTGTTCGTATGCAGGTGTGACCCCAGAAAACCTCAAAAGCCACCTGATCTCCCACGCCCAGGGAAAACACAAGTGTGAGCGGGACAACTGCAGCTATGTGGGAAAGAGTAAGCTGCACCTGAAAAGGTGAGTCAGAAAGAAAGGTTCTACTCCTACACCAAAAAAATAAACTTGCTATAAGCCGAAGTTCAATTTGATATTATGTGGTATACATTTTGACTTGATATGCGGCAACTCAATTTGATATGCTCAAAATGTAAGCGAGTTCCGAATGTGTCTTTCTCCCTCCCACTCATGTAAATTTAACTAACTAACTATTTCGAATATGTTCTTCTCGCTCCCACTCACGTAATTTAAGGTATGGTCGGAGTACAAATTCGACCATAGATGGCCTGCTTTAAGTTCAGAAAAAAAAGTTAATTAGGAGCTTAAAAATGAATCATAACAACTATTCTCAAAAAATTATATTTTTATTATTATTATTCTCAAATTAAATCAATCACGGTAATGAGCATGGCAAAATTTCTGGAAAAATTCCTTAACATTTACAATTTTATCCATATTTATTTATTATCTTATAATAATTTGTTCAATGGTTGCCACAATAACTTGGCAATTCATTACTCCCACCGAATGCTCCATGGTAGACGCATTACACGAGGGCGAGGTCTCCAGGTGCCTAACAATTTGGTCGGTCTATTACTAATCTAGAAAATGCTAATCAGGACTAACAAAGAAAGAAAAGAAACGGAAAAAGACGAGGCCAAGACAATTGCAGGTAACAAAATAAACGAGCGACATTTTCTCCACGAATTTGAATTTCTGGCAAGCAAAAAAGAAATGGAGGATAAAAAAAAGAGCAACAAGAGCAAAAATGTCATCCATAATTGCAGACTTTGAACGGCAATTGCATAAATTGATGAAAACAACAAGAAGCACAGAGCCACTTCGACGGGGGAACTGTTGTGTGGGGATAAGTTGGAGGAGGACAGTCGCCAGAGTCGCCGCTCGATCCCCACAAAATCGTGACTTATCGATCGTCTTTGATATGCGCATTGAATTCTTGTAATATTTCTACTGCCCCCAACCCATCCCACTCCCATTCCCATTCCCTGCGAGAGATCCCGACGATCAGTTCAGGGCCAAATTGCCGGCAATATGGTAGTGCCACTGTTGGTCAGCCACTGTGCAGCTGTCCGCCCCAAGAAAAAAGGGAAATAAAACGAGAAAGAGCTGCAGACTCAGTTGTAAGTGGCTTCGGACGTAGACGTGGATGTGGATGTGGATGTGGATGAGGAGGATCGTCGTCGATTCCTCGATCGCTTTGATGGGGACGACATTTGGCTTCTTTTGTACTCCGCCGTTGGTTGGTTGGTTTGGTTGGTTTGCTCGTTGCTGATTTGAATGTTGGAGCTGTGGGATGGATAATGGTTAATACCCCAGATCACCTTAACCTTTGGCGGGGGGTCCTTTGTCTTCTTGGGAGGAGTAGATTTACCGGTAACTGAACATACTTTTTACATTTTTATTGAATGCACCAGAACTAAACCTATAAATATAAATGATGAAAAGATTCCTTATTCAACTTTTAAATATTATTGTTATGTAATTATTAACATTTGTATACCCTTGCAGAGGGTATTATGATTTCAGTCAGAAGTTTGCAACGCAGAGAAAAAGACGTTTTTGACCCCATAAAGTATATATATTCTTGATCATCATCACTAAACTAGTCGATCTAGCCATGGCTGTCCGTCGGAAATCATAATACCCTCTGCAAGGGTATACTAATTCTTCAAAAAGTTATTTTTCAGACGTTATCAGGTATCACTACACACAAAAACGATTTGAAAAATTGACCAATTAACCAGTAAAACGGTCCCCAACCATCGAATTCCAATACAGTTTTACTATTAGATACGCAGAGAAAACGATCAAAAATTTTAGGCGCAAAATCACGGGTGAAACATTTTAAAAAGTAAAACGCTTCATACTAGTTTTATTTTATTATAGATTTTTTTTTACAAGAACACGGAAGCAAAATAAAAATACGTTACCATTTTCAACAGTAGCAAACTATTTTTTTTGGTTACGTAACTATCAAAATGAGTCATTTTTTTGTGTAGTTTTTCTTTTTGGATTGAGAAAAACGACTCTTACTTAAATATACAAATTGTTGATCATTGGTTTTATTGGTTATAAAGAAATACGATTTCAGTAATGACCATTTCTGATAATCCTGGAGGTATGCGCCTCAAATGTATCGCTCATTTTCTAGATCTCCCGAATTTAATTCCCTGCTAAATTTAATGAATTCACTCACCGAACGCAACGTAAATCAAAAGGAAAACAAAAGGCTTCGCCTCATTAAAAATACGCAAGGCTGGCCTCAGCCGAAAATCAGGGCTTGCATAAATCTTGCCCAGAAATCCAGGCTCTGAGACAGAGTGCTGTTGTGATGCGCTTAACTCACATCCGAGATCTTCAATTAGCTATCAAAAGGCAGCGCTGCTGATCCAGGAATTTCAAAGCGCAGCCAAAAAGGCGTTCGGTCGGCAGTCGCGGCCTCGATTCGCGAATCGCGATTCGCGAGTTTGTCGGCATTCGACACACAGAGATATATGTATGTACCCCTCCAGAGGGGACCGGGCGGAATGGGGGTGGAAAACCTCCTACAACTGGCGGGACGATCTTGAAGCTCCATTACTTGCCGCTAATTAAGCCTACCGAGTCGCGCATGAGTCGCGTCCGTCTGCTTCGCCCAAGTCTCGGGCTTCAGTCTTCAGTTTATTCAGCCGAAGTTTGAGATTTCACACAGATTCCGATTCCGGCGGCCCGAGCCCACAAAAAAAACATTGGCAATTAATTGTGACTCTTCGGTTTGGACAGTAGCTGATAAGTGGAGTGGACAACACACACACACACATTGGCAAGGAGACTCCTTCAGTTGGCTTTTGGGGGAACAGCTCCAGGAGCATTGGGCATAATTGAAGGCGCGTAACTGAAATCGTGTGAGTGAGGTGACCTCTCTCCTCTCGGTTGGGCATATCGGTTTTTAAAGTTAATATAAGGAATTACCAAAAAAAAGTAGTCAATTAAAAGAGTAGGCATTGTAAAACGACAATCCATTTTTGAAAACTAAAATAGCAGCAAATTCTTTAGAACAAGAGAAGCCAATATGGTCCAATATGAAAGGAAATATCAGAAAAAGTAGGAAGTAAAAAACGAAGACAAGGTACTTTAGTTTTTTTTACAAAATCAATCGCGAATTCTTCAGAACAAGAGGAAGAGTTAAAATGAGACCGCGAATTCTTCAGAGCAAAACAAAATAGTATGTAGCATTATTCGAAACGATTTTTTAAAAACAATATTTGTCCCCTTCTTTTTAAAAATTGTTTTCTGTTAATCGAGTATAATTTTAATTATAAATTATAATTTACTTAGTTTTTTAAGAATATCACGAATCCCCGCTTAAAAGTAGCTCACTGACAAGTCGTGCTGACCAGACCGCTCGATTACCCAATATTGGTTTCCCGCTCTTAACCCAAAAACTGATCGCCATCTAAGCCAAGCCCGGATTGGCTGAGCCAGCTTTTCTCCTTCTCTGGCCGAAAGGCAATTGGCAATTGCCAACTTACTCGTATTTTGATTTCGAGCGTGCGATTCGAATGCGAAATTAGCAATTAGTTCTGACTGCGGTGGCGGGACAAGCCGCCACTGGAATTTACCGCCTAATCAAGCGTTGAGATTTTAAATATGGCTTCGCTCAGGCTTCCTTCTGTTTCTCTGTTTTTATCCCGCAGGCACCTCAAGTCGGCCCATTCCGCGAAGGAGGAGGGTGGTGCGGAGTGGTTCTCGTGCGATCAGTGCGAGTTCAGGGCCCGCATCAAGAGCCTCCTCCGCCGGCACTCGCTGGTCCACTCCGGCCAGAAGCCCCATCAGTGTCCCCACTGCGACTTCCAGTGCAGCACGACCGACAACCTGCGCAAGCACATCATCAAGACGGGCAAGCATCCCGGCAAGTTCATGTACGAGTGCACAAAATGCTCCGACCAGGCGGCCAGTGAGATCTTCCGGAGCAACAGCTTCAAGGATTTTCAGAAGCACTTGGAGACCCACAAAGCCGCCTGAGAGAATAATTCAAGGTACGTTTTCCGACAACAATTTTTATTCTTAGACAATATATTTTTAAAGAAATCTGTCTTATTAAACCCAAAACTTTAAATTAGTTACTCGTAGAGTAAAAGGGTATATTGTATTCGTGCAAAAGTATGTAACAGCTAGAAGGAAGCGTTTTCGACCCCATAAAGTATATATATTCTTGATCAGGTTTACTAGCCGAGTCGATTTAGCCATGTCCGTCTGTCTGTCCGTATGAACGCTGAGATCTCGGAATCTACAAAAGCTAGAAGTTTGAGATTTCCCACACATATTCTTAGGCTTCCTACGCAACGGAAGTTTATTTCAGCCGAGCGCTACGCCCCCTCTAACGCACACAATCGCCCACTAACGATTTTAAAATGTGTCTGGCGCCCACACCGTTAAAGACTTCCGAGAAGTATAAATGCCATTTTTTGGTGTACCTATCGAAATGTAGGACCAATCACACTGTGCAGCATTTTTAGTGCTTTTTAAATTTACCTCGATGGATGCTATATTTTTGGATTCGTTACGAATTCCCAAGGATTCAAGGATTCTTAGCAAAAGGACCTCAAAGTTCGAAAAATGCTGAAATTGACCAACTTTGCGGAGCTCTCAGAGGCAAATGGATGCATGGTTTGATTCGATGTTAAAGTTTTTTAAAAGATACACCCTTTATCTTTTAAACCCCATACTTAAAAAATTTTTAAGATTTTTTTTAAGGCAGAAACAAATTCTAGAAAACATAGTCAAAAAACATAAAAGTATACAGCTGCGGTCAAAATGGTAGTAGTGTTGCCGCCCTGTGTATTTAAAAGTTTGTTGTTGTAGTTGATCTTTTCCTGATAATATTGTATTGATTATAATTTTACTATTAGACTAATTGGATAAGAAAAAATTACAACATGAAACTTTTAAAAACACAAGGCGGCAACACTGCTACTATTTTTATAGGTGTATGTTTTTCAGTTTTTTGACATGTTTTTTGGAATTTATTTCTGCCTTAAAAAAAATCCTAAAATTATTTTATGTATGGGGTTTGAAAGATAAAGGGTGTATCTTTTAAAAAACTTTAACTTCGAACCAAGCCATGCATCCATTTGTCTCTGAGAGCTCCGCAAAGTTGGTCAATTTCAGCATTTTTCAAACTTTGAGGTCCTTTTGCTAAGAATCCTTGCGTCGGGAAAATCTTTGGAAAACGCAGTTTAACTTGGGAATTCGTAACGAATCCAAAAATATAGCATTCATCGAGGTTTATTTTTGATGCTGCATAGTGTCATTCATCTTCCTCGCACTCCTTTTAGCTGAATGACGGGTATTAGATAGTCGGGACACCCACCCGACTAAACCGTTCTCTCTTGTTTGAAACGTGATAGTCAGTAGCCAGTTAACATAGAGTTTGACCTGGGAAATATTTAAATACATTGTTTTTGTTTTAGTATCGATTAGAGGGATAAATCCTATCCTCGAACTACAACAAATTCTACAGCTTAGTAGAGAGCGAGGTAGCTCTTTTACAGCTCTTGCAGAGGGTGCCATAATGTTGGTTCGTGACGCTTGTAACGCTTCCTATAAAGTAAATATTAGATCCCTGCACGAGTAGACTTGTAAACAGCTCTGAGCTAGAGCTTGCTTGTTTGTTTGTGACTTTCGGGTCATAGCTCATGGGAATATCAAGTAATAGATAAAAACAAGCTCATACTCCTAACGGATACCTTTAAAACAGTTCAGTTCAAACAGCTCAGATTACTCGGACAGCTCGAACAGCCCGATAATAATAATATAAATAATAAGAGAACAAATATATAGTTTTTCCTTCAAAGTTAAATTCTTTAGATGAAGTGTAATAAAGTGTAATAATTTGTTTAAGGATAGACATGATGGTCATAAATCGCGAAAATATGATCCTCAATGGATCTTGTAATTTCGGTTACAAGAAACTACCGAGCCCAACAATCCCTTGCCCATTCTTAAGATATCGCGGTCCATCGAGGATAACTTTTCAAACTCTTTCCCTACGGCCAATCTTCAACAATGCAAATGTTGCATTTTCATTAGCTGAAGAATTCGCGGAAAAACTAAAGTATAGTATGGCTCAATACAACGAATTTGCGAGAGAATTTAAAATTATTTTAAAGAAGATAATGGTATTGATGTGTACACACAGAACAAGATAAATAGTATAAAATATTCCCCGTATTTCATTTCTTAGCACTGTTCCTAAATAACATTTTTTAGCTCTGTTCTTACATAACATTTTTCAGCCCTGTTGCTACATAACATTTTTTTGGTATGTTCGGATACTTGATCTACTAAACTATATCTATGATCTACTATACTTGTTTTGTTTCGATCAAACAAACAGCTTAACGTAAAAATTTTTGAGCTGAGCTACTTGATCCGAAAATTTCTATGAGCTGATCTACTCGAACTGTTTTTCTGAAGTTTGAGTCAAAGGGCATTTCGAGTATACTCGTGCAGGGCTCTATATATATTCTCGACTAGGATCACTAGGCGATGTATCCATGTCCGTCTGTGTAAATACCGTTTGCTAGTTTATTTTAAAAACTAGCGATCTGATGCTTCCACAGTTATCCTAAAATTTGTGTACGCAGGTCGAGTTTGAAAACCGATTCTCCTATAAGAACTTCGAAAAAAACTTTGGAAGTTATGCGGTAATAAAAGAGATTTCGCTCAGTATGGGTGATTCTTTTTATTCATGGTCTCAAAACAATATCTCAATTTTATTATTTATTATCAATTAAATAGGATTTTGAAAAGACTGCTTTTTTTTATTGTTTTATTAAATTATGCAGAAAGTAAAGTAATTGGCAAAAATAATCATTTTTGAGTATTTTTATTTATTTTAAATGGTGTATCTTGATAATAATGAAATATTAAGAGACCATGAAGAAAATCTCGATACGTTTTACAAAGAATCATATTAGCTTTTTACATTTACTTTTCAAATTTGTTTTTATTGTATTTTGAACAGGGCAAAATCGCGTGCCGATTGAATGTGTTATTTTTGCATTTTTGCTATTCTTTTTTTCCTGATCAGGGTAAACGCGCTTGCCGATCGGTTTGTATCTTATACCTTCCATTGGAGCTATAAGGTGAAGTGGGTCAATATTTAATCTTTCGTTGCCTTTTATCTATAACTATAAGGCATTTCATTGTATGCATGGTACTCGGCAACCTAAGTAGTAAAGTGCTATATGTACCAATATGTGCACATTATCATCATTTATTATTATTTAAAAAATTACTGATATAAAAATTAATTACATTTCTTCTTCTATTTAGGTCCTTTGAAAAATGCACTGGATTTGACAGCCCATCAGCTAAGGATTTCTCGTACTTGGCCCAGTATCATCCATAAACATCATGCAAATAAGCTTTTCAATTGAAAGATCCACAAATTTATTGTAATACTAATTTTTTTTTACTTAAGTTGTTTAATACTTCTCCCAAGATGCTTAAACGTTTCATACTTGTAACAAATTTATTAATATTAAAGATACAATCCAAAAATTTCAAAAAAAATCTTTTTCTAAATTTTCTTTTATTTTCTCAGCATTTCAATGTGTGAAATCAATGTCGGAAGCGTGAATTGTATTTGTTTTCGTGTATGTAATGTGGTTCTACTGTAGCTGTCGCAAACGAGCCGGTGACTGTTTAGATCGATCGTTATCGAGCATTACAGAAGAGGTTTGGAAAGAGCCTTCAAAGATTAACAGAAATTACAGCTAAGGGTGGAAATGAAGTTTTCGCAGCACAATATGTAGAATACAAATGGAAATCGTTTAATGATCCGCCGGCCACCAAATCCCCATTCAATCCAGTGCTTTCCGCACCAGAAGCGTCCTCTTATAAGGCGTCGGATATCGAGGTACCGAATCCGAAGGTCTGCTTGATGCTATGCCAGTAGTACCGGTACCAGTTTGTCTTCATCGCATCGTATTCGGAGGCGGGAATCCCGGTCTGCTTGAGCGACATCATTGTGCTGGACGACTGTAATGTGAAAGCAATTTATTTAGTTAATATATTGAGTAGTTTTTTGGATAACATTTAAAATCATAAATAACACTAGAAAACCTAGGCAGACTATAATAAAAATATATAAATATCTATCAGGATAATACAAAATTCTTCTCACCGTGCTTGGAGCTATTTTTATTTAGCAGCACAGTGAGAAGAATTTTAACTGATCATAAAATACTAGTGAAGAAACAATAACAATTACTATCTTTGACACTATGCCATCAGTCCAAAAAGAAAGCTACATCGAAAAGTGGCCTGTTTCTGGATTCATGTGATATTGTCCATAAAAACATCAAATATGGCTTATTCCGGGGTGTCACAGAAAAATCTCTTTGAACCAAAGACGGTTGGTTTAGTTTATTGATGTATGTAAAAAACTAAAGGATTTCGGTTGAAAAAAAGATTAGTGACACCCCCGATTTTCCTGTGCTCTTCCATTATCTTTTTTAAAATTCGTGTTTAAATATAGTATAATTTTAATAAAATAATAACAAAATTATATCCTTCGCCGCAAAGTTGGATCATTCAGAATAGTTCATAGTTATTTAATTACGCCGCATTTTATGCAATGTATGATTTTATTTTACTAATTTGGTTTATATAAATTGCCAAAAAGAGCATATTTTTAATAAAAAGCAGTAGTAGAAGAGTTTTAATATTCTACAAAACCAAAGGGCTGCTTGTTTTTCATTTTTGTTTGAGAATTATTACCTCACTAGGCGATTGCAAGATATAGTTTCCAAATACTAAACAACAAACATTAGTGTGGACAATAAGACAGAACACCTAGTGAAGGAAAAACATGGGCTTTCATAATCTCCCTGAAAATTCGCTAGTCAAGAGTGTAACCAAATATTGGAGAATTTCTTTCAAATACAACAGAACCAAATGTAACCATTGGCGTAGCCTATTTTTGTTGTTGCTTTGTGAGATTTACCTAGCAATTT